TGCGTGAGATAAATGGCTCCAGGATGAAACGACGTTCCAACTGCAGACTGAACTCTTTGGTTTCTCCTCCAACTCTGCGCAGCAGCTACAGGAAGACGAACTGGTCGGGTCTCTCAGACGAAGCGTCGGCGCTCCACGAGCCTCCTGCGGAGCGTCGCGACGTTGTTCACTCCGAGCTCACAGGAAGGAGCCCGGCGCGAGCGCCCATTCAGACTCGTCCTTTGACGAGACATTGACGGGTTTCTGTCGGGAAACATCTCAAGAACACGAAGCTTTCCATCTTCATCACCAACAGTCCACTCGGTATTAAAATATTCAGGCGGTAACGACGTAAACACATGCGGAGACGTGAGGCGGAGTCAGAATCTGCTGAAACGAACCGTGAAGAGCTCAACATGAGACCAGGACCTGACTGCTGCTGCTGCCTACACACACGAAGCAACTGAACAAATACTCACAGCGTGCACCTGCAAACGATGCACACCCGCACTTTTCTCATCATCCTCCGCAGGTCACTGTGGTCTCATGCAGGTCCGAACCTGTCAAACCTTCCTACAGTTCTCCTCGTTCAAACACCTGGGGTCAATGTGAGACCAAAGGTCCAAACTCAGAATTCTTTGATTCCGATCAAGTTTCTAATCGTGTTTAAAACTCGTGCAAAGCCCCGACACCTTCGGAGAGGAAACTGAATCCTTGCAGAAGTTTAAGCTTCATCTGAAAACAGATATTTAGAAAACAGATGCAGCTGACGATGTTCCTGCTTCTGACTGAGAGGGGGCGTGTCTCTCTGTTAGCAAAATAACTCATGAACAACTAGACGGATTTTAAAAACAACTAGAGCTGAAATAATCAGTGAAGACCTCCTACAACTAGTTCAGTTTTAAAGGGAACAAAGGTCTCGAAAAACGTGAGAAGACGTTAGAAACTGAGCAAAGACTGAAAAAATGTGAAGCATTTATGATTAAAATCAAAAAAGGATGAAAAAAGTGAAGAAAGGATGAAAAAATGAAGAAAGGATGAAAAAATGAACAAAGGGCAAATATTTATGCTTAAGTTTTAGCCAACAGTTGCTGCCCAGTGAGAATCTTCAGGATCGTCTGACGTTCTCATCGTCACCGCAGAACAAAACGTGGATGTTGTGTGTGTGTGTGTGTGTGTGTGTACGTGTGTGTACGTGTGTGTGCGTGTGCGCGCGCGTGTGCGTGCGTGCGTGTGTGTGCGTGTGTGTGTGTGCTAGCTGAGATTCCTCCCTAAGTCGTGGTCTGAGGGTGAACAAACCACCGTGGACCCTGTCGTATTGTTTAAACGTAATTTGAATGACTCTTGGTTGAAAACTTTGCCATGAGGGTGACGTGAAGATCTGGACCGGGTCTCTGTGGTCGGGTTTGGTTCTGCCTCCTCGTGCCGGCTGGACTTTGAGCAGTTTGAGCAGCTGCAGGAACTCTGCACAGTTCACAGAGCAGCAGCTGAACGTTTGGGACACTTTCACGGCGCTCCGTTCTCGTTCTGTCTTTACTCATTTCACGTCGGCGTGGTCCGAGTTTGTCGCCTCCTCCTCCTCTTCTTCTCGGACCAGAACCTCCGGATCCGTCGCGCGTCTTCTCGTCACGTGCTTGAAGCTGAGCTGTAGAAACAGGATGATGTGGTCGGCGGCTGCCGGAGCAGTTTAACGTCCACCAACGCGTGAAGCCGTGTGGACCGACGTCGTGTTCACCATCAGATCTTCTGCATCACGTTTTCCGACGGGCCGACGTCTGAGGTCACGTGTCCGGGCTGAATGTCTGTAAAGGGACCGGTTCTGACCCGCTCCACGTTCTCAGATGGACTCGTGTTAATCTCAGTCTGGTTCCTTCTTCTGCAGCAGCTCACAAACGGCTGAACGTTGCTCTCAGGTTCATGAAAACATCTTTATTATTGTCAGAGCTGACACAGCAAAGGAAACAAACTCAATCATCGTCGTAAGACTCGGGGGTTGAAACGTAACTAAACAATTAGCCTTTGAAGATTATTAAAGTTATTTTATTTATCAGCAGCTTCTGATAGAAACAAACTTGTTTTTGTGTTTCCGTCCAATAAAAAAGATCCGATTGGGTTTAAATAAACTAGAACGTTCCTGGAGAAACTTTGACCATTTTAAATTCAGATTTGACAGAACTGTGCTGGGGTTCACCCTCAGTTACCACCACACCAGATGTCCGTGCAATACGGCAAAAAAATAATAAGTTGGAGTCATTTGTTCTTTTAAACTGTGGTGGCCATCTTGGATTTTTGATATGTATCAGTATGTGATGGCGAACGTTCTCAACTATAATATCACCAAATTTCAGCTCAATATCTTGTAAAACAGCCGAGTTATACTTTTCTCTTTTAGCTAAGTTGGCCATCTTGGATTTTTTATTTGCATTAGGACTATATAACAACACTCTCAGCTGTGACCAGACCACATTTCAGCTAAATATCTCAAAGAATGACTGAGTTATAGTCAATGTAGTTTTCAGAAGTAGCTGTGGCGGCCATCTTGATTCAAAATGGCTCCAAAAATGAATCGGTGCTATGTTCAGAGACGACTTCCCTCCAGGTCATGTGACCTCACTGTAGCAGTTAGAGGTTGTTTAAGAGTTCTGTCAGTGTTTGTTCAATAAGAAAAACTGTGTCTTTGTTTGCAAATGGCGTTGCCGTGGTAACTTGAAACGGCAGGGAAAGTAAAAGCACCAATCACGATGCCGAGCCGGACGTTTTGATATAAGACGTGTGGGGGTACACATTGTGGTTCGTGCTGCATTAAAGTTGACAGAAGATGAAGACCCTTTTCAGGTGGATAATAATGGCGTGCTCGTGGTCGTTTTCCATTTGGAGGATCGGAGGTTAAAGTGGTCTATGTGCCTCTGAGCAAGGCAGTCCTCCCTCCACCGATCCCAGTGGGATTATCAATGGTGTGAGAGCACAGAGGATTCTAATGCTATTTTCATCCTGACATTGTATTAGTAAAATTACAAGCAGACAAATAGTAATTATAAAAATCTAGTGTAGATGTTCTAAAACTTGAGCAAAGTACTTCTAGCCTTCAAATAATTATACTCCAAGATCATTTAACAGAATTTACCAGATTAAAAGTGCAGATTGTAGACGTGCTGGAAGGCTTATCCTCACGGTTGATGCCAACGTTCTACACTCTGCATTCGTTTCCTGATTGTTGGAAAGTAGGAAAACTACACTTTCCAGAACGTTTGAAAGACCCAACATGAAACATCCGTCACAACTCGATTATCAAATGTCGACTCTGCCGTGACCGAAGCCGTCGTTAGCCTAAGATGGCGGCCAGCGACGAAGTGCCCGATGTGGCGTCACCCGTGGGCTCTTTCAAACGATGTGGCGGACACGTTTGATATTCTTGAGGTAAGAGGTTCTTCAGACAGACGGCAGGCAGTAAGGATGGAGCCAAAGTTTCGGCTGATGGTACAACAGTTTACATGTAAAACAAAAAGCACCGGGAGTTTAGGAGAATGTTCCGGAAACCCTCAGATTGAAGGCAAAGAATCTGAGCCAAGCCGTGAACACTCTGTCACCCCTTCAGGACTAAAGAGAGGACTCTTCAAGACTCGCAGAGGGTTTTTTGGTGACACCGCTCAGCCTGAGAGGGAATCTCTTCAGCGAGTCAGAACCACGGCACAGAGACTCGTCGGCCGTGGACACCACCCACCTGACAGCTGGAGAGCCAAACAAACTGTTCCCACTGATTGTAAAGGAGGTTGGAGAGAAATCTCACCTCCTCCACCTCACTCACAGCAAGAACCCCTAACAGCCGGTCCCATCCACCCATCACTGGGTCAAACCAGACAAAGTCCTTCCCGTCTCGCGGCTCAGCGCCGCTCTTTCCTGAACGCTGACCAGATGCTGCTGAGGGGATTACGGGCAATAATTTCTGGGAATTAAAGTTCATTCCTGGGTTTGAATTTTAGGTCACTGCTTCAAGCATCGAGTCCTTCTAGAGATGTTTTATCAAATTTATTTTATAGTCTGAAAGTGGGAGAAATAAATGTGAAAAACTTTGGGAGGGTTTAGGAACAGATGGGCCCAGGACTGGAGACAAAACCAGAATAAACCGATGGAGTGGAGACGTTTCGTTTCCTCGTTTCCAGAACGGACGGAGTCGTTTCAAACCCTCGGTTCAGTTTCCGTGAGTCGGAAACTGAGAGAAACACGAGAAAACGTGCAAATAAACCGAGATCTAAGTGAGACTAAACTGCAACAAAAAAAGAGCTTTTAATTTGTAGGAACGTGATTTAAATCCTGGAATTATTTTGCGTTTGAGTCCAAACACAAACGAGTCATCAGAACCGGCAGAGCAGGTTGTTTACAGGCTCAACTCAGTAAACAACCTGGAAATAAACACAAACAACCCGTAAACAAGAGGCTCAAACTGTGACAACGTCCCTCAAACAGAGTTCAGTTTTTAAAGAAATAAAAAGATTTTTGAGTTTGATTTTCTTTAAAAAAAAAAAAAGAATTACATAAATTAAAATTTGGATAAAAGGCTAAACTGGAAACTAAAACATTTTGAACGACATTATAATTAAAATAATTACAGCTAGAAGTGGTCCTAACCAAAACCAGTCATTGATCTGAGCCTGGAGCAAAAACTGGTTCTGACAGAAACCCCTGGACCCGAGTACTGAAGGTGGTCCAAAGGCTGAAGGGATTCTTCACATTTATTCACATTTTTCTTGGAAAACAATCGTTACGGATGAAGGTTTTCGTGTTTCCAGGACTTTGAGAACGAGTGAACGGCCGATGTTCGGTACACCTGTTCTGACACTCTTCAAAATAAAAGCCTCTCACTGGTCCACAGGTGAGAAAAATAAAAGCGGTGAGTTCAACCTATCGAATCAGACGTTGCATCGTTTAAAAAGTCCTCGAACTGAATAAACCGAGTCGTAGCCGGAAGACACAAACAGACGGAAAGAGCCGAAGAAGCCACAGCTGGGGCGTCCTCCTCCTACCTGGTGGCAGATCTCGTGGACGACCACCATGGTGAGCTCCATCTTGTAGGACGACGACGAGACCTCCGCGTCCAACAAGAGCTTCTGCTCCACGAACACGCTCAGGCCCCAGTTCTCCATGGCGGCGTACGGATGTTTGGGCACCGCCAACAAGTCTGGAAAAATAAAAAATAAGAAACACGTCAGCAGGTCGTACCCGTTTGTGTGACAGGAAGTGGTTCTTTAGCAGAACGACAGATTCTATTCTGAGTTTAAATTAAATCCACGAGTCACTTTAACGACTCGCATCCAACAACCGGAGTGTACGGTGGTTCACGTGCAGAGATCCACACGTCTGAGTCAGAGAAAAGAAGAACGAGGATAAAAACCGACGATTTAAAAAGACACGAGCAAAGAATCAAAAACTGTTACAGTTTGTGGAGCAAAGTTTAACCCTCTGAAGGGTCTTTAACTTCCTGTCACATCATGTTTGTGAGAAAACATGAAACACCAGCAATAAACAGCAAAAACAAAAGAAGTTCTAGCGCTGACATGAGAGCTACTCAGTAACAGGAAGTGATGTCAGTAACAGGAAGTGATGTCAGTAACAGGAAGTGGTGTCAAAGAGGAACGCCTGCATGAGAGCAATGTCTGACAACACAGACAGCAGAGAAGGATTTGACGTTTCTTTAGAGTCAGCTAGTCCCCCGAATGTTTTAGCTCCTAAAACAGCCGAATGCTCAACATGAGGGTAAAAGAGGCCGAAGGTGAAGCGGAACGTAGTGCTTCCATTATACAAGCCGTGCGCTGTCAACAGAACTGAATGCACTGCCTACCAAACCGACCCCCCCAAAAATCATAGAACAGAAGATCGCCTGCCAAGGTCAATAATGTTGGAGAAAGCCTGGAACGGTTTCCCTTTATCGTCACTCCCAGTTGGAAAACAACAAAATGTGTGTGTTGCCAGACGTCTTAAACATTTAATGTTTTTATTTAATTTTTGTATTTGTGGGTAAAGAACGGGCGTAAAAATAAATCAAGCAGCTGACGTAACTTTGTGCCCATCAGAGCCATCTCATCCTGAACGGTTTTAGATTTTAGCTCCTGAAGAGTTTTCAGTTTCGTAAAAAGCTACAAGATTATTTTTTGATGAGAAAATATATTTTTTTATGCAATTAATTTAAAAAGAAACGCTCAGATGGATTTTTGGACGTTTGAAAGAAGCGTCCGGTCCAGAGTTTTACGATGGAGCTGTGTTTGTGCTCAGCCCTGCGGGAACCGGCCACCAGATTTGATTTGGTTCGTGCAGGAGAAGAGAAGGACGTGTTTGACGAGAGTCGTGGGTAAAACTCAACGAGGAGGAAGACGCTGTCATTTCAGTGATTAGAGGAAGAAAGGAAAGGTGTCGAGGTGAAAATGAGTTTTCTCACCTCGACAGAAAAATGTGCTTTTAAGAACCGGAGGAATTCTTCTGCACGATAACGAGACAAACGCGCTCCTTTATTTTCAGTGAAATCAGAAAAACGTGGATCGCCGGATTTAAAAACCAGGCGGTCGTTTAAAAATGTCAACGTGCCGAGTTAGCTAGGTCCAGGAAAACGACGAAGCTTTCTGCACGCTTGATTCATCTTTTATTTTCCTCACAGCTACGTGACGGGTTTCTAACTGAACTCAGTGGCTCGACGCCTTCATTTACACGTCAACGGTCCGACCAGTCAGAACGTTGAGGAGTTTTAACGGGATGAAACGAGTTTACAGGAGAGCGCGCTGCGGTCGTCTCATCGCATCGAAGACGAGGTCGAGCAGGAACGACACGACGGAGAACGTTCTCCACGTTCCCAAACTGTGCCCATGAATCCACTCCCAGGCCGGACGTGATTGGCTGACAGCTCATTACCCACATGACTGAGGCTCAGACAGCAGAACTGATTGGCTGGCGGGGGGGGGGGGGGAGGAAAGATGATTGTTTTTTACTTAAAGGGAGGGAGGGATGCACAGCACGTGTTGGGTTGGAGCTAAAACATGCAAATGAGACATTACACGCAGTAGACGTTTAAATTAAATCGTCTCTTGTTGCTGCAGAGCGAACCTTCAGGAGGTCCCAAAGCCGGAGAAACGTCTCCTGCATTAGATTCTCGCCTCGTGCTCTGCCGTCACGCTTCTGTGGTCGCTCAGGTGTCACACCTGGAGCCTGAGGACCCGACGGAGGCAGGGAACGTCCCTACGAAGATGTCGCTCACTTGGATTCATCAATCAAACTGTAAATGCTGGAAATCTGTGATAAAGGAGCGCCTGATGTGCGGAGGAATCGAGAAACGGTGGGAGGAGGTGCTGCGGGGGAGGGGAGGGGGGTTCAGTTTACAAAAACATTCATGCCAAGAGTTAAAGATGAAGCTTTAACTCTAAACTTATTATGTTTTATAAATGCACCTGAGGTCAGAAGTTTCCATACACCCGATTTATTTGATCAGTTCTTTTTCCACAGTGGACTGAATATTCATACAACGGGTTTTACAAGTTTCCTCTGATCCGCACAGGGTCAGAACTATACATGCAGGCTCAAATATACCCATACACCCAATAATCTGCTCAAATGTCCCTCAGTAGGTGCCACCTGGACCGGTTTGAGTCCATCAACAAACTCCTGGCAGAACTTCGGCTGCTCTTTCCTTCTTCCTTCTTCTAGCCAACAATTTTCAGTCAGGTCTTCTGGACAGTTTATTTTTTTGTGCTGAAACGTTTCACCTACAATCCAGAGGTCTTCATCAGTCAAAGAAACACACAAAACAGAACTGATTCTTCCCCCAAACAGCTTACTCAAAAGTGGAACAGACCAGTTATGTTGGTGCTAAGCTGGTCTCTTTGGCACACCTCCTCCTCCAGTGCCGGCCCTCTCCCTCGTCGGCAGTCATGTCAAACTGGTTCAAAACCAACAAAGTCCATGTTGTGTGTTTCTTTGACTGATGAAGCCATCTGGATGGAAGGTGAAACGTTTCAGCACAAAAAAAATAAACCGTCCAGATGACCTGACTGAAAAATGTTGGATTATATACCTGGATTATTGAGCATGGATTTTGTTGTTTCCTTCTTCTATCTTCTTCTTCTTCTTACATTTTATTTCTGTAGGTCAGTTTCCTGAAACATCCGACTTTTAATCAGAGTCCATACATGTACAATCGGGTTGCGGTCTGGGTTTGTGAAGATGGTTCCAGAAGTCTAATATTAACTGACTAATCCAATCAGAGACCAGTTCTGGAGTGTGTTTGGGATCACTGTCCTGATGGACCCAGCTGTGTCCTGTTGAAACAGTCAAGCTGTTGAGTTCCTTCTTTCTTAGTCTCATTCAATGTGTGCAATGTGCCAGTATCACACCATGATGCAACCACCACCATGCCTGACAGTTGGGACTGTGTTCTTTGGTCTAAAAGCCTCACCTGGACTCCTCCAAACGTCCTTCCTGTCTTTGTGTCCAAACAGTTCCATCTTTGAGGACAGTCCCCACAGTCCATGGTAACTGTCTCTGCTGTGGACAGGGACACAGGTGTTCCAGTTCAGGGCAGGCTTGAGCCTAGGTAGTTCCTGGGTTGTTCCTGCCTCGGACTTGTCACGTTTAAAAAACCTTTGGAACCCTCAAAAAGATTTAGGGGAATCTACGCCAGATGCAGAGGAGTTTATTGGTACATTTCCACATCAGGCTCAACCAAATGATGGTTTGTTTCATCAGTCCCAGAATCTTTGTGGTTTGTCGAGACACATTTTAGAGAATTCCAGTTTGGCTGTTTTGTGTTTTTCTGCCCCTAGCGGAGCCCTACTGGGTCTCGTTCCATGGAGTCCGGCACGATTCAAAGAGTGGCGTACCTTAACCTTGAAGGAGTATGTTGCATAATCATTCCACCATGCAAAATAAACGGTATAAATAAATCATTAAAAGACCAACATTAATGATATTCATGTCCACGATGAGCGGATAAGAGACTTCTCCAGAAAAGTCAAATCTTCTTTGCTTTTTGCAAAACTTCAGATCCAACGTTGATACAAACGTTCAGAGAAAAGCTCTTTAAGCCTGAATCTGTTCCCAAAGAACATTTTATAACGTGAACATCAACGTTTAGAGCGTGACCACAGACACTCGTCCACGTGTGGACCTGTGGACTGGACTCCCGTAAACCTAAAGAAAACAACAATGAGCCCCGACTTTGATTTGATTTAAGGGACGTTTCATTTCTCTAGAAAATGTGCCTCAATTTAATTTTCATAAAGAAATGTCAGCCTTTATTTATTTATAATTTGTTACAATCTTGCTGCTTTTACTTGTATTTCTTTGACCTAACCAAACCTCCACAAATTTGGACCCGCGGGTCCCCCGCTGTCTCCCCCCTCCCCCCAAACGTCACAGATGAAGCTACACAGCCATGAAGTGCTCCATTTTCCATCTTTGTTTCAGCCCTTTCTTCCTCTCCGTGGTCGAGCTCCACTTGTCCCCCCAATTATGTTCAGCTCATTCAGACGAGAGCCGCTCCATCTCCAGCAGACACCAGAGGAGGAAACCGGAGGAGAGATGCTGAATTTTAAAACGCCGCAGACACAGATTAACCTGCAGCCACAGACGAACCTTCTGCAAATAAACAGCTGCGGTGAACGCTGCCCGAGGCTGAAGAGTTCATTACAACCCTATAATAAAGTCTTACACAAAATAAATATCAAGCTGTTGACACGATCTGAGAGGGTGAAATGGAAAGTTGGTCCTGAGGACGGCGCTAAGGAATAAACCGGCAGCTCCACAAGAAGCAAATGAGCAGAATAAAATGTTCCTCTTAGTTGATGATGATCCACAAAATAAACCTTAACGTAGCGACAAAGTGTGCTGTTCTGAAACAAATTTACAGATGTCTTCATTAAAAGTATGCACCACCTTCAATCTAAGACAACAGCTCAAATTGTATATTTTGTTTTAGAGTTTATTTTCTTCAACTGGGTTTATCTTCTTTAGGAGTGCTGTAACAAATTATACTCAAACAACGAGGCTGTGTTACTGCATGCGCAAACAAACACACAATCTGTGCTAACCGCTAACTGAGCTCACAAACA